CTCATGCACGTGCATTGTTGACCAAGCCCCCCCCCCCCCCCCAGTTCTGTTGCCCTACTACTAGGAGCAGGGACTTACTGCATTTTGTCAGTGCCAATAGGAGTGTGTGTGGTTCATTTGCCACATGCTTGCTAACACTCCCACAGCAAGAGAGGACCTGCCAGAATGCGCACACAGCAGGAGGTTTATTAGACATCTGATTCCTCCCTACTAGCTAGCAGAGACCTGCTCCATACCTCAACTTCCTTCAATACAAGGGGGCCCCACTCTGCACCCAACACCTCCATAGTGAAGAAACCAGCTACCATACTTGACCACCTGCTCCCAAAGCCAGGAGAGACTGCCTCCTCTCACCCCCACAAGATGACCTGCCAGTGACTTCTGATGGGATGCACAATGAGGTGCTGAAGCAGAGTAGTTTTTAAAACAGTCCCTTGTGGAAATGTTTACAGCTTATCACAGTATGTGGAATTCTTCTGGTGGTGTTTTCACACACAGAAACATTAACTATAAGACATCTATTTTTAGAAGCCTGTAAAAACTTTAGCAAAATCAGTTCTCAGAATGTGTGTGCTCTCTGGGTAGGCAGAAGTTTTTTGGGCTCACTGAATAGACAGTGAAAGTCATACAGTAGGACTAGTGGGTCCCTGACTGATTACTGTCCCCATGTAATTAGAACAGACAGCTGTAGTAATTTTCGGATGCGGGGGTCCCAGTCATCACAGCAACAGTATATTCCAAGGCCTTACTCCAATCCTCAAAACCACACCAGTCTCCAGCAGCGTTTTAACCAGGTTCACCCAACATAGTTAATGCTGTCGTTAGAACTGGTCAGAAGTGCATTTATTTTCCAGACACTTGCTGCAAAAGTTTGTTTAGTTAAACATCTGGTTTTCCTTTGAAAAGCAGTTTCAATGGAAAATTTGACCCAGCCCTAGCTGTAATATCACCAGGTTACCAAGATCAGGAATATGGTCCCAGTCCTCACATTCAAAAATTACACCACTAAAATAAAGTTACCATGGGCCATACTTTAAAAAAAAAAAGAAAAAAAAGTCCTATGACTCAGCAGGCAAGCAGCTGGACCATAATTATTTTAAAAGAGGCTCTTCATGGAGAGATTCCCACTAATAAAGCCCCACCCCAGCTTCATTTTCAGATATCACATTGGATATGAAATCGTCCCAGAAGTCTTCTTACATCCTAAATCCTTCAAGGTACTGTGACAATATGTATCCCTATATTGACTCTTTTTACAGTTTTGTACAAAGTATGCCTTGTGAGGTATCATTTGAAAACTCATACTTTGCTGATCATTACTGTCCTGTAAAATATGTTTGACAACATGGTATGTAAAGTTGTAAGATTCTACTCTATGACATTGCTGAGACATGTTCCGAGTTTAGAAAAGCAGGCACAAACCAGTTCCTCAGAGACGAAAGGCAAACTGATGCCTCAGACAGATGTCAACAAAATCAAATCGACTATCACCTGGTTAAGAGACCATTCTTTGGCAAGAAAAAAGGATGTGGGCAAGATATCTACATTTTGGCAAGGAAATAGCGAGAGGTTCCTGTCCCCACAGACTTGGTCTCCTGAACCTCAGCTGGAGGAGATTTTCAAAGAAAAAGAGAACTATAAGAAAGGGGAACAGATGCCCCAAAATACTCCCCCCTTTCTCTCCACTCAAAGTATCAACACCTCCTAAAAGACAAGGCAAGTAACACTGAACTGGAGGAGGGATCCTGGCTGAAAGGAATCCAGCCAGTAAGACTGCTGAAGCATGTGGTGAGAGAGACCTTTTCTTTGAATTCATTTAGCTTAAGTTAGATATTAGTTTGTGATTTACCTTTTTTTTTCTTGTAACCAATTCTGACTTTTGCGCCTCATTACTTGTAATCATTTAAAAATCTCTCTTTCTGTAGTTAATAAACTTGTTTTATTTTTTTTTTATCTAAACCAGTGTGATCAGACTGAAGTGTTTGGAAAACTCCATTTGAAATAACAGGATTTGTGCATATATCATTTTCTATTAATAAAATGATGGACTTTCTATGAGGTTGTGTTGTTCAGGAGAGAGCTTGGCAGTACAAGACACACATTTCTGGGGGAAAGTCTAGGACTAGGAATTTGCTGGTGTTACTCCGCAGTGTAATTCAAGAGTGGTTGGCCATAGCACTCATACTGTATAGCTGGAAGTAATTTACATGATGGAGGCTGCGTGTGAGCAGACCAGGAGTGGTTACTCACAGCAAAGCAGTGTAAGAGACACCCCAGTCTGGAGAATTGAGGGGATACAGCTATTCAACAGTCCAGATTGTACCCTGAGGAATTTCACAGGTACTCTATAACTAGTTCAGGAAAAAATGAAGTCCTCCGGATGTCTATTTGATATGGGAAGTACTTAGTGTCCATGTAGTACAGTAACCAGCTTCCATAAAAAGTCAATGCCAGAAGCTTCAGAAGGAGGTTGAGCCTCTCATTTAAATACTTAACTGTATAGGATTATAACAATGGGAAGGCATTTTTTCTAGCTAGTGAGCTTTTCATATCCTTAAGTAGGCCCAAACTTGGACTAGTTTCCAAAGCAGCTTCAGAAGTTAAAGTTTGAGTTAACAGCTAACTGGATTTGATGTTCCAGTAAAGCAAGATTGTGGGGGCGGGGGAGAGCGGGGAACCCAACAAGTAAAGAGTGAAGGGAAGGGTTAAAAAAAAACAACAACCTGCAACAGAGTGAAAAATGGATGCAAAGAGCCTGTGGGGGGAAAACTAAAGAATCAGCAATATTCTAATGACAGGTAAATGTACCACACACAGGGCACCCAACTATGCCAGCTTAGCACTTTGGGTAGGGGATGGGGATAGGGACAGAAGAACCATGCCTTCCCTAATAAAGTCCTCATGATACCTGATATGCTTTCACTAGACTCCAATAAGATTCAATATCTCTTTTGAGCAATCATGAAATTAAGTTACAGGTTAAAAAGTTGTACAAAAAATTCAGTTTGATTAAGCCGGTGAACCCAAAGCTATTTTGCATGGTTCACAGGACATCCGTCTTCATAACATTCTCCCATTCCTATCTCTTGCATGAGGAGAGAGAGAGAGAGCCCTTCTCTTCAGCCTAGCTGTTCTTTTAATTAGAAAAATATCTGATTTTAGGTTTATAGTTATACAAATCATTCCAAACAAAGGGGCATGTTACAGATGCTATGCTTGTTGCTGAATCTCTCTTCTTCCCCCTTTTTCTAAGAATTACTTAACCCAGATGCCTCAGTAGCATGAATGAGTTTACCGACAATTCCTAGTTTAATAACCATGTGGAAATACTTACATGTGTTCATTAATTCTCCACCATCCCCGCTCACAGCCCTTGATGCTCTTCTCACTGATAGTGTAGTTATGAAACTTCAGTGCTATACCCAGGCTCTTTTGAGGAGTCTGTAGCAAACAAGCAGGAAAGCTGGTAAAAACATTTTGTGCACACAGGGAATTAAAATCTTTAGATTTGTCTTAACAATTATTATGCTCTCGGGATACCAAGCTACAGGGGAGCACTGGCTTGCACAGCTCAACAGAGAGCACCTGAGCAGGCCTGATGGTTTTTCAGCTGCCAGCAAAAGCTCAGGTTGGCAGAGGCCAAGTGCAGCTGCAGGCTTTCCATCCCTCTTAAGCAAACAATCCTTTCATCTTCTGACCATATATGGAATGCGGCTTTCAAACTGAGATCAAAGGCCTCTGGCTATTCCAACTTCATTAGAGCAAGGGCAGACAGCCATGGCTGACTGACAGCTAAGACTCTGAGGTACATACTGAGTTCTCCATAACATTATGCTTTTTGGTAGCGCATTGCATCCAGAGGATTTCAAAGCATTTTAAAACCCAGAGTAAGCCTAAGGATATCACAGACGTATGTAATCAACAGAGGTTCCACTTTACAGGAACAGAAGGCAAGTGACTAGAAGCTAGTAGTCATGATCTCATCCCTACCTTTTAATGATGAGAGAAGTATAATTTGGCCACACGCACAGCATTTGCACAGTGCAGCACTAGTGCTTGGCTAGAGTTAGTTCTTACATAACAAAAAGCAATTCCTGTGTATGTTGTGAAGGGCCTTTTGAGTTAAGAATAGTAGGGGACAAGGTAAAAGCTCTCAGCAGTCTGGAGCAAGTTCACTATAGCCCCAGTTCTTCTCCCTTCATACTCGGTCATTCCAAATGTTCTTATCTAGTTTCCAACAATACAACAGCCACTCAATCTGTTCCCTTTCTATCTCTTATTCTTTGCCTGGTTCTCTAGCTCCCTTACTCATCCCCTCCTCGTTATCTATATATGCAGTTCTTTTTCACTATTCACCATGCAGCACTTCATTTTATTTGCTTTCTCACTTTTTGCTGACTTCAGTTTGAACATTCTAACATGCACATAAGAACACCACTAACTCCTGCCTCTTCAGTGAGTTACTCCTTCCCCCCCCCCCCAACTCCTTGAGTGTGATTGATGGCTCTTTCTGATGCTTTGATTTCCTCTCCTTTAACTCTAGGTTTCCATCCATTTCCACTCTACCAATACTGCATTTATCAAAGTTCCCAGTTGTTTCCATGCTTTCTATTGAGGCTCACATCTCTCCTCTGTTTAAGTATCCTAACAGCTCAAGACCAATGTGGAAAAATCTTAACTCCCTCCCATCACCGTGAAAAAACACCATTGTCCTCCTCAATACACATGTTTGAAAGCTTTTGTTTGGTTTTGACTCTTTCCTCCCACATCAAAACTATTAAGTCCCGATGGATTTCCTCCATCCTGTCTCTAGAGAGTCCAACTTATCTCCGGTTTCAGAGTAGCAGCCGTGTTAGTCTATATTCACAAAAAGAAAAGGAGTACTTTTCGCACCTTAGAGACTAACAAATTTAAGCTATATCTATATTTTGGCTCTTCCACATGAACCCTGCTCCCAAGCTACTCAAAATCCTACCACCAAAAAAAGAGCAGCTACTCACCATTCTGAATCTCTTCACCTCCTTCCTCATCCAATTCAAAATTTTTCACCACTTTTAATACACTATTGCTGTGTAGATCACTGCTCTTAGTTATTTCCTTTGATGCCCTCCTGCTATCTACACTGACTCGCTCTTTGTTTGTTCCCTAATACCTTAACAAGTTCCAAGGGTACAAGGTAAGTTAAACAGAGTTGTCGGGCTTCCATTTTCCAGAAGGGACCAGGATACATTGCAGAATGCAAAGGGAGGGACTTCCAAGTGAGAGCTCATTCTTCAGTTCTCTGGTAAAGCACAGAGTTTAGTGTCCCTGCAGCTCTCATGATAGAACTCTCTTTTGTCCTCTAGATAAACTCCTCCCCACATTCATGCTTGATAATAGTTAGGCTGCTGGTGTACCGAGAACACTAGCTAACATGCTGACCAATATTGTCTCATTGATTCCTTGTGCACCCCAGTTTGTCTGTATCCATCTGCTGGCTGATCCTTAGACTGTAAACTCTTCGGGGCAAGGGCCATTTTGTAGTTGTGTTTGTGCAGCGCACAGCACAATGGGGCCCTGGTCTATGACGGGGACTGCTAGGTACTACCACAATACAAATAAGGACAGTTAAAATGAAAAAAAAGTTCTAACATACTGAGAAAAGTGACCAAAGTTTTCCCAAAAAGTTGTGGAAATTGGTCTGTCTCCACAGTGAAACAAGGGCAACATTTTGAATCTGGTTTTTTTTTTTTTTGGTTGTTTTGTTTTTAAACCAGCTTCGTTTTCTTTGTAATAACCTGAGCCCAATACTTCCTATAATAAGATCCTGTTTTCAGTTGCTTACAACTTCAAACCTAAACTGTGTGTGGGCTGAAGTTTTCTGTGCTGGAAGTCTGATACAGGCTAAATATTTCTGGCAAACTATTTCAGCGGTTTCTGAGAACAAAAACTCGGGCAAAATGTTTTGCCCATGTTAAAAAACTGACAACCAGACTGGGTGAAAAAAAATTTGCCAATATTTTAATGACCAAAAAATGCAATTTCAGTAGCAGCAAAACTATTAGTGAATTTACTGAATAGTTTCAACCAAACCAAAAAAATCAAAATGTACCAGTAATGTTGAAATGTGCAGTTACATTTCAGTATTACCAAAACATTTCAATTTTTCAGGCCGGAGTCACAAAGTGGGGGAGGGGGAGGAAGAGGAGGTGGTGGTTCCACTGGCCTCCTCATAATCTTTAGCCAGGGGATAGGGCACTAACTGAGGATGTGGGAGACCTGGATTCGATTGCCCCCTCTACCTGAGGTGGAGAAGGGATTTTAACTTGTGTTTCCCACATTTGAGAAGAGTGCCTTAGTCACTGAGCTACGAGATATTCTGGCATGGGTCTCTCTATTCTATTCTACACAGGTTTTTATATCGTGCTCATGATGGTAGTATTTGAGCACCTTCCAGTTGTGAGTTAAACCAGGAGACTGCACATCTATCATGCAGCGTTTGTTCCCTCAGGCTGTCTACACTTTGAGCTATGGGCATAATTCCCAGCTTGAGGAAAGATACCCAGGCTAGTTCTGACAGAACTAATGCACTAAAAATGGAGCATAGCCACGGTGACATGCTGCCCTGAATACGTGTCTCAGACAGCAAGTGCTCAGGGTGGATGGCCCCTCATACTGCCACAGCTATACTCTTTTTAGTGCACTAGCTCTGATGGAGCTAATGCAGGTATGTCTCCTCAAGCTGGGAATTACACACCGCCTCGAAGAGTAGACATTGCCACACTCTCCTGTTGAAGCAGTTCCAATTTGTATAAATAATTAATATGACTGGAGCAGGGACTTGAACCTGGGTCCCGCACCCCGATGACTGCTGTAATCCCCAAGCTACAGACTCAGCCTCTTTTCCTGGTGAAGTGACTCTTCACTGACATCACAAATAACTAGGACTTGTCACTATGAATCCTGAAATGTACAATGCACGAAGAGTGCCTGCAGATCCACGGATATGAGAGGAGAACACAGAGGCATTCAAAGTAATATTACTACAATTCAAGGTGTATACAAGACCCCACTTTTATTAAATGACCATCCAAAAAGGTACCAAGTATTTTGCAACATTAGTTACCTGCATTTATCAGCCACCTCTTCAACACAAGTAAAGACTGTGCAGAATCAGTCTGAGATGTTTTAGAAGACTGGCTGAACTGTTTGGAGTTGAGATGATCAGAAGGCAAACACTGTCTACACACAGCCTGGGGACAGGTGTCACTGCACTTCACGCTGTTTTGCATTGCTTTACATTTGTATACATTAGCACCAGGGGCCAGATTTTCCAAAAGAGCTGAGCTTCCCTTTAGGCAGCAAAGTGACTGTTGGGTGCTAAGGTGTTGACAAATCTTGCCTTACGCGTTAAATGAGAGGCGCTTAATTCTGGCGCAGAGGTGAAAGTAAGCCGGTATGGTCAGGTCCGGAGTACCTGTAAAAAAAGATCCAGTAGTGTACTGGCAAATAAGTGGAGCATTCAGGACCGGCTCACTTTCACCTCTTTTGGCTGCAGAACAAAAAGTTCAAACTAAAAGCTAATAAAAGCTTGGAAAGGGAAAACTCATTGTCACATTTGTGTTGTTGTTTCTCTCCCTCTCCTCCTCCAGCCCATGGTTCACCCCGACCCCCGCACTAAGCAGGGGCTGCAGGGGCTCCCCTCTAGCTTGTAGCAGGAAGCAGGAGGACTGGCTGAGGGAGAAGCCTCCCCAGGTAGCCTGCTGCCTGCATAAGAACAGTTTAAATTTAGCTGTTCACTCCGTGGTCTGAACCACAGATTCGGGGCTATTTCTGGCTTCCTTGTTAATTTCACTCAGGGTTGTTGGTGGGAGCGGGGTAGAGGGGGTTGTGTGAGACCAAGGCAGGGGCAGAAATACAATAGCCATTTGGCTGCACAGCTTAAATCCAGAGGTAATAAATGCCAGTGGAAGGGGAAAACTCACTGTCACATTGGTTTCTCTCCTCCCTCCTCCTCCAGCCAGGCTGCGACAGGGCTAGGCTCAGTGCTTCCCCAAACCCTCGCACTCAGCAGAGGCTGCAGCGGCTCCCCTCTAGCTTGGAGCAGGGGGACTGGCTGAGGGAGAAGCCTCCCCAGGATGTGTGCTGTTTGCATAAAAACAGTTTAAACTTGCTGCTCCCCCCCTGGTTCAGACTGGGATTCGCGGCTCTTTCTGGCATCCTTGTTAATTTCATTCACAGTTGTTGGGGGGGGGGGGGGGGGAGAGGGGTGAGACCAAGGCAGGGGCAGAATATAATAGGCATTTTACTGCACAGCTTAAATCCAGAGATAATAAAAGCCAGTGGAAGGGGAAAACTCACTGTCACATTGGTTTCTCTCCTCCCTCCTCCTCCAGCCAGGCTGCCCAACAGCCTAGGCTCCCTGTTCCCCCCACCCCCTCAGCAAGGGCTGCAGTGGCTCCCCTCTAGTTTGGAGCAGGGGGACTGGCTGAGGGAGAAGCCTCCCCAGGATGCCTGCTGTCTGCATAAGAACAGTTTAAATTTAGCTGTTCACTCCCTGGTCTGAACCCTGGAATTAGGGGCTATTTCTGGCTTCCTTGTTAATTTCACTCAAGGTTGTTGTACCAAAGCCTGGGCAGTTCTTTTCTGCCCCCTGGATGAGGCGATCTTCAATAATATAACACACAAAAAATACAATCAAAATCAGGAACCATTTCCAAGTTCAAATCTATCCCATTCCCTCCCCAGCAGAGGATTATGGTTGTGATGTCCAAACTGCTTGCAGATCCTCTTTGAAATGTTACTGTTTAAAGAAAAACAAAAACATGGAGAACATGGTGGGAAGATGTGTTCTGATGATCGGGGTTTATTTTGGGCAAAGCAATTTTGGTAAAACAAATAAAGATTCACAGGGAAAGCAAATAGCCCCATAGACAAAACCACAAAGGACTGGAGGGGAAAACTGGATATTCAGGGAAATTATTGTGCCTCCTTTGAAAGAAATAGTAGTTTTCATTCCACCCTCTTTATATATTGCATTAAACACCTGAAATGTCCTGAGGACATAGGGGCTCAGATCTCTTTTTGTTTTGTGGGTGTTGGTGTCCTGCAGAGTGCGGAGGCTGAAATTGACAAAACTTTCTCTAAGTATCTTGTATATTTCATGGCAGTTATTCTAGTTGTCCTTCATTCACCCCGGTCTTCCCCTACTAATAGCCACCCATTAGTGTGTCCCTGCACCCTTGCAGCTAACACCTCAGGAACTTCTGCTTAATGTGTGCTGCTTAATGGCACCTTGCCCCTGGGCGGGGGGCTGTTGGTCCGATTCCTACACTAAAGAGCTATCTTTTCTGAGAGATCCATCCATACTGGACATATACATTTCGAACATACCTGGAATAAGAATAGATTTAGATCTAAAAAGTCAGAGATCAAGGATTGTTTAATCTCCCTCCCAGGCACATAAAAGTGTGGGTTGCTTGTATTTGGACTGTACGGGTGAGAAATGTAACTTACTTCCACCTCTGGCCCCGCCCCTTCCGCCTGAGGCCCCGCCCCTTCTGGGGGGAGGGGAAGAGTGGGACCCTTACCGGTAAGAGCTGTATTTTACTTTCACCCCTGCTCTGGTGGAAAATGCGATACCAGCTGCGTGAATGCTGAGCACTTACAATCTGGCCCCACATCCCAGGTGAATGGCAGCAGACAGAACACACTTTCTGTTACACAAGTGACTTCACACCTGCACATTTTAAATTATTTATGTCTAAGCATTTCATGAATAATTCTTGTTAACAAATAAATCTGATTTAATCTCCTGGCTTTTCAAGTAAAATTCGCAGCCACTGTTATTGCAGACCCGCTTGTCTATTTCGAGATGCTACTTTCTGTTGGGCCTTTCAGTGGTTACTTTCTAGAGGTGCCAATGCATTGCATGTATTCAGCAATAACCATTCTACAAGATGACTACCCCATTTCTCAGAAAGCACGTCACTACCTACCAAAAGCCTCCCTTTGGCCTACTCTTAGGATTCTGTTGCC